TGAATAAAAAAAAAACTAAAACTGTTACGTAATATCAGTTCTCCTATATGGCCAGTGAATCACAGATGAAGAAGAATTGACATTATTGGAAGAAAAAATAAATTTACAAAAAGTCCTTATATGAGAATAATACTGGACAATCACAGATGAAAAATGACTTCAACTTTTTTATACAGAAGGATTTTTGTTTTTTTTTTTTTTTTTTTTTTTTTTGCTGTCTTGACACAAAATACAAAAAAAAGGTTGAAAAATTTGCCCCATAGATAAGACTTTTTTTTTTTTTTTTTTTTTTTTTTTTTGCTGTTTGATAAGGAAGCATAGTCTGTTTTTTAGGTGTCTGCCTTTTTATTTTTTTTTTAGTTTATTTTTCGTTTTCCGGTTGTCTTGGTTTTTTGCTTTCTTTCGTTATTCGTATTACTCCTTTTTTTTTTTATTAGTTTTTTTTTGATCACCCGGCAGGCTTTATCTTGGTGGTACGAACACTTTTTTTTTTTTGTATAATCATTCAGTCGTTTAATATGAATTACATTTGTCTCACCGATATAATATTTTGTTCTTGTTAAACATTTTTACCATTTTTTTTTTTCTTTCTGGCCAAAGTGGAAATGACATGACTGAAAATTCAGACATGATTAAAGTGTATCGGTAAAAGGATTATGAATAAAGGCAAAAGCAAAACAAAAGTTGTTCTTTACCAACGCGTTTCATTCCCTTGGGTACTTCATCAAATCCAAATGTAAGATTTTATTTTCTGATATCTATTTATGAAGAGAAATAGAAATCTTGTTAAGTTTTCAAAACTTAAAATATGAGAAATTCTGAAAATTAACTGCGTAAGTCAAGATAAACTATGGAGACCATTAAGTGATGTAATTTAATACTTAGTAAACGAATATAAAAAAATTCTTTTTTGTTGTTTTTTGAATATTTATTTTGCTTATATATATATATATATATATATATATATATATATATATATATATATATATATTATTATTTATTTTATTTATTTTTTTTAATTTGATAATTTATTTATGTATTTATTTATATAAATATAAAGTAAATGAATATATAAATAATTTATCAAATTAAAATTAAATAAATAATAATTTATATATATATATATATATATATATATATATATATATATATATATATATATATATATAAGACATTTGAGGAATAAAAATATGGGATCATATTAAACATAAGATACAACAATATCCACGTTTAAAACATAAAATGTAAGGCGCCTTTCGACCGACACATTTTCAAACACAATCGTCGTTAATCTAAAACGGAGTACTAACAAGAACAAACTTTTTTATTAATACCGTAATAAAACGAAGTGGTAAAGGGGAAAAAAAATGATTTTACCTCAAATCATGTAACGGTTCCCCCAAATAAGGCCAACTTAAACTTCATCTCCCGTTGTACGCAGAGGGCCGGCCTACGTATGTTGATAATAACAGACTCTAAAATGTCGAGGTGGAGTCTGTTCCTAGCCCTGTGCAATACCGAAAAGAAATGGGGAGAATACTCGGTCCTACAAACACCAGAATTTAATAGATGTTCACCGATAGCAGAGGCATGAGTCTGCGAACACCTGGATGTCACAAACTCATGCCTGCGCACGCAGCCCGGGACATGTTGGGCGATACTAACCTCAAGCCTCTGGATAGTTTTGCCCACATAGTCGAGCCCGCATCGACATTTAAATTGATAAATAACTAAATTATTATGGTAGGTAGGCAAAACATCCTTACGGCAAGTGGGGTGGGGGAGAAGCCCTCCTGGTAGTAAATATGTTCCTGACTGTAACGGCATTATAACACCGTTTAATGGATGAAGAGATCTTATCGGCGTATGTCTGACTCTCAGGACCAATCCAAGGGAGCCTGTCATATATAGCACATTTGGAAGGCCCATATTTCTTAATTTCATTGACCTTCCTGATCTTGCGTTCAATGACAGTTTTAATAACTGATTCGGGGTAACCGTTCTTAAGAAACAATTCCTTAATTGTTCTCAATTCGGCCTCGAGTCTACACTCAGAACAAATCTTCAATGCCCTATGGGTAAGACAACTTATAAGGTTAACCTTTCTGGCTCTGGGAGCAAAAGAGTCCCAGGCCAGATAAAGTCCTGTAAAAGTGGGCTTCCGGTACACGCTCGTTAAGAAACCCGAGGAAGTTCTCTCCACAAGGACATCAAGAAAAGATAAACGATTGTTCTCTTCAAACTCCATTGTAAATTTAAGTGCAGGATGGAGATTATTTAATAATGAAAAGAACACTTCCGCTATTGCACTATTAGAAAATGATGCGAACGTATCATCAACATAGCGGAAGTAACAAGTAGTTATTGGATGTTCTTGATCCGGTTTTAGAATTCTACTCGGAGTATTGTGTGCCTGAATCGTTTAAGTTTGTAGATTATATACAAAATTTAAATCCAAACAGCGACACTGAGTATTTTGTGTCGTTTGATATAAGTAGTTTGTTCACGAATGTTCCAATTGATGAAACTATTAACATTTGTGCGGACTTCTTGTATCGCGGCCCTGGTAAATCTCTGTTGTTTCCTGAGAGTGTGTTTGTTGAATTGTTGGGGATGGCGACTAAGTCTGTCTCCTTCAGTTTTGAGAATTGCATGTATCAGCAAATCGACGGGGTGGCAATGGGTAGTCCCTTGGGCCCTGTGATGGCCAACATTTTTGTTGGTTTTCGTGAAAGGCGACTATTTGAGAGGGTTAACAAACCGTATTGTTACTTCCGCTAGGTTGATGATACGTTCGCTTGACATCCGCTTGCCTCTAGCTAGGATCGAAACCCGACTGAGTTGGCACAAGGCAGGGATGAAGAGTATATATATATATATATATATATATATATATATATATATATAGAGAGAGAGAGAGAGAGAGAGAGATTGATAGATAGATAGATAGATAGATATGAACGCTGCAATAGATAGATAGATAGATAGATAGATAGATAGATAGATAGATATGAAAGCTGCAATAGATAGATAGATAGATAGATATGAACGCTGCAATAGATAGATAGATAGATAGATAGATAGATATGAACACTGCAATAGATAGATAGATAGATATGAACGCTGCAATAGATAGATAGATAGATAGATATGAACACTGCAATAGATAGATAGATAGATAGATAGATAGATAGATAGATAGAGTGCGATGAGTAAAATGTCGCCATTTCATATATTTAACAAGGCGCTTACACCTTTTTTGAGATTTTTTTTTCGACTAAACATTATAGTAGGACCGTCTTTAAGAAAAGGAGCATCATGTCGCAATTCATTCCGGCTGGAATTTTGAAACGACATGCTGTACTGCTTGGCAATCGCACCGGAACCTCCATTACAATCTTTACAGTGTTTGGGTGTTAATATGAGGACAGTAAAATGGATTCGGAAAGAGTTGGATCAGTCAAATTGTGAATACGAAGGTGTTTGGAGTGATCTCTAGTGATGGCGACATTATCCATCCGTTCATCTTAAAACATGATCTCAGACTCAACACGAAGTCTACATCAGGTACCTCGAGGAGACAGGGCTGCTTTGAGTGAAAAGGGTGACTGGTGGGAGACCCCTATCTGGCAACAGGGTTCTCCTCCATGCCACACAAGCAGGAGAGCTTAATAATGGCTGTCAAACAACTCCCCAGAAAGCAACAACGTTGATTGATATGAGTGGGGTGCAGTCGAGCGAGAGATCAACACGACTCCTTGTAATACCAAAGATGAACTGAAGGCAAGGATTATGAGAAGGATTAAACAAGGAGACCTTCCAGAAATCGTCTGGATATCATAATTGAAGCCAATGACGACTTTATTGAATAATGGATATGTGCGTATCTATGTATCTATCTATCTATCTATCTATATATATATATATATATATATATATATATATATATATATAGATAGATAGATATAGATAGATAGATAGATAGATAGATAATATTAGTGTAAAATATACATACATATGCAAGATATATAAATACCCATACATGTATATTTTTTAGAAAACATTTTTTTTTTTTCCCAAGAGGAAGAATCCAGGTAGAACTCAATGTCCAGGACAGAGTAAGGATATAATAAAAAGGCTTAAACACTAATATTCCATGGTCATAATTTATTCCATTGGAACGTAAATATGATCCAATTCATCAGACCTACAAATTCAAAAAAGAAAACATAAAAAAACCAACTCCGGAAATAAAAACAGAATTTAGAGAAAGTGTAAGTATATATATATATATATATATATATATATATATATATATATATATATATATATATATATGGCCTGACGATTGTATATAGCATGAAACAGACTGTCGTCTCTAAGTGTTGACTTCTATGTTCACTTTTATATTTACACACGCTCTATCTCTGATATTGAGCACTTTATCCCATAAATATAGCACACATTAAGACTATATTTCTTCATACATATATATATATATATATATATATTTATATTTTATTTTCAATGATATCATTGATAAGACACAGAGTGTGTTGAAACAAAATGTTATTTTTGTAGTGATTTTATAACATACTTATGTTATAATTTTTTAATAAAAAATAATTATATATATATATACATATATATATATATATATATATATATATACATACAGCGTGTCCAAAATAATGTATACACTCTTTAAATATTAATATTTAACAATGCATTACCTTGATGCGATGCGAGATGATACGAAATCCATTTATAAAAAAAAGACTAAAAGTAATGGAACCTGTAATAATAAAAAAAGAATACGAACAAAGCCAACATGTACTAACCCTGATAGATATTAGGGCCATTCTTTCATAGGAATTAACGTTGTTTTTTTTTTACTACATTGAGTTAGTAGTACTACCGGACTTTGACTGATTCTTTTATCATCATGATATTTCGTGTGTGTGTGTTGTGTGTGTGTGTGTGTGTGTGTGTAGTTTGCGTTAGTAAAAAAGAAATTGTATGTGTAAGTATGCCCGTGTGTATGTTCGTATGCGTAAAATGTCGTCGTTATTTATATAGATAAATAGATAGATATGAAGAGAATCAGAGATAGATAGATAGATAGATAGATAGATAGATAGATAGATATGAACAGAATGAAATATATAGATAGTGAGAGAGAGAGATAGAAAGAGAGAGAGGGGGGATATGAACACAATGACATAGATATATATATGAAACAATGAGATAGATAGATAGATAGATAGATAGATAGATAGATAGATAGATAGATAGATATGAAAATTCAAAAATTTAGATAGATAGATATATAGATAGATAGATATGAACAGATAGATAGATAGATAGATAGATAGATAGATATATAGATAGATAGATAGAAATGAACAGACAGACAGCCAGACAAGCCAGATAGATAAATAGAAAGAAATGAACAGATAGATAATGAGGTAGATAGATAGATAGATGATATGAAATAAAATATAGATAGATAGATAGATAGATAGATAGAAATGAACAGACAGACAGCCAGACAGCTAGATAGATAGATAGATAGATAGATAGATAGATAGATAGATAGACAGACAGAAATGAATAGATAGATAGATAGATAGATAGATAGATAGATAGATAGATAGATATGCGCGTATTTTTAATTTTCATCGATTGCATTTCCGTCAATAGAATGTGTGCAATTTCGCTTCAAGCTTTGCCTACACAAAACTGTTTCTTATCTTGAAGCTGTTCTCGTTCAATTCTCGTTTTTCCCCGTCTTATTATTCCAACTTTTTTAACAAAAACTTCCCCCGCTCAAAACAATAACTCCTGCACAAATTCCAGATTATTACAACTCGAAAATATCTAAAGTTTACAAATTATTCAAGACTTATTTCACTGCACTCCAAATTCTGTGTAGTTGATTAAAAAGAAAAAAGTACATTATATATAAGCGCTGTTATGAATTAGGTCCGTTGTCACGGATTTTCTGGAACAAACACTTCAGATCACACGTTTTTATTTTTTTCCATTACTACGGCGTTTTTAAATTTTCCTTTTGTAGAAAGTAATTTTCGCCGACGAGTTGTGTGTATTAATTATTTATTAACATTAATTTAAATATTCACAGTTTCACAAGAGATGTGACGATATATGTGGGAAAGACGATGAAAATGGATGTTTTAGAGAAAAGATGGCGACGGCGTGAAAATAAGAGACGACATTCGAAAACAATATTAAAAATGGAAAGAAACGTTGCAAGATGTCTGAGTACCTATCATCACCGAAATCAAAATAAATTCTAAGAAATCATTATTTAATTTGTGTATTTTATTTCCTACGTATAAATCTGCGCCTCTAACATCTGACACGAGAGCACACAAATTACCGTAGATTGTGGTGTATAAGTCGAATTTTCATGGTTTGCAACTTAGTGGCTTTATTACTTTTCTTGAAGTGAAAAGATTAAAAAATATATCTCTAAATCTAAAGCCAATCTTCTAATTTGTAATACATTTCCGAATTTGGCATGTTAGAATAAATCGGAATTGGCTAATTTTATTTCTGAAGTAGTTAACGTTTCAGAAATTTTCGACCTGTTACTGAGTTTTTTTACCATAAAATTACATAAACAATTTGACTAAAGTTTTATATAATAAAATCACGTCCGTAACACAAAGTAATTTAAATAAAATCAGCAATGACACTAAATTTCGGCGTACATTTCGAGTTTTCAAGCCTAAAAATCTTTCAAAAACTCGAGGTCGACTCATATGTCGGGTATAAACTGTCAATCTTTACCGCCGAGTTGTAAACAAGTTATATCATTTGCAATTACTGTACATTTTAATTAACGTATTTTAAAACAGACTGTCGCAAATATATCCCAAAAACTTGTGTTCGGAGAACATATTTGCTTATTAATACAGAAATAAACTATATATTAATAAAGTAGTAATAGAAATTCAGTATACTATTAATGCTTCCACATTCATCACATCCAACAGCTGATACATTAAGAATAAACACTACTTACATCATCTATGCAAATGGTTATATGAATATTACAGCAGAGATTTCGTCTTTGATGGTGAACATCTCTAGGGGTCGACTCATAATGGCGGATATAAAATGCAAACCTTTATCACCAAGTTGTAAATAAGTGAGACAGCACACTTAACAATTACTGTACAACATTTACAGTACCTCCAACAGGCTGACACAAATATATCCCACTAAATCTTATGTTCGGGAGGAACATATTTGTCATATTAACACAGAAATAAAATATAAAATAATAAAATGGTAATACAAATTCAGTAATCTATTAATGCTACAGTATACATCACGCCCAACAGCTGATAGACTAATTGTAAACATTTTTGGTTTACATCACTTATGCAAATGGCGGATGAGTGATTCTGTATTTTAAAATAATATACGATACGTAGCAGTACTATAAAAAAAACTACCTGGTGTGATGTGTAATCTAGGGTATTAATGCTTTATAGGAGTTGATATTGGATTTAATGTGCTTATCAGTAGACCTGATGAAATCTAAATAAAGTTATACCGATGCAATATACGGTACCAATCGGTGTGTGTTGTAAGTTATTTTGCTATACAACGCATACAGAATAATACTACAGTAAATGTCTTAATCAGTGATGGCATTTATATAGGTTTGGTACGGCTTATCGTATAATGAAGCTTCATTAAAAATCTTTCCAAAGGTAGATGTCGACTGATACGGCATAAAATGCTTACCATTGAGTTGGGACTGCACCTTTAACAATTAATGTACACCATAACGTACCTCCAACAGGCTGTCGCAAATATATCCCACGGAATCTTGTGTTTGGCGAACATATTTGGCATATTAACACAGGAATAAACTATAAAATAATAAGTAGTAATACAAATTCAGTAATCTATTAATGCTACAGTATACATCACGCCGAGCAGCTGATAGACTAAGTGTAAACATTTTTGGTTTACATTACCTATGCAAATGGCAGATAAGTGATATTGTGTTTTACAATAAAATACAATACATAGCAGAACTATAAAAAAATCTACCTGGTGTGATGTGTAATCTAGGGTATTAATGCTTTATAGGAGTTGATATTGACTTTAATATGTTTATCAGTAGACCTGAAATATTGTAAATGTTCGCTAAGTTATACCGATACAATATACGGTACCTACCGGTGTGTGTTGTAAGTTGTTTGCTATACAACACATATAGATATATATTACGGTTAGCTTCTCAATATACGGGTAAGTGGTGTAACCTGATATTATATGGTGGGCTGCTATATTATATTATAATATAATATTGTTATCTATATTATTTAATGAAACATGCCTCAATGAAAAAATGATGCCTAAATACACACAATTTAAATTACATGATCCAGCAGCCCACCAAATTATCAACACTTGGAATTATAAATTTAGCCTTGTGAAAAGGCAAATAGAAATAGCCAAGGAAAAATTGAACACCCTTAGCAGCAACAAACAGGACATGTATGATGTCCGTGAATTGGTTAATATATTGTAATGTAATTGTCATCTTTGATACTGGCTTATGTAAGCCGAAATCTTTGATAGGATTAAAAAATATGTATCAATATGATTTTATTTCGTTTTTTAATGAAAATAATTTACATAAAGTAGACAAAACTTGCCTATATTATTTAATAAACCCTGCATCAATATATATATATATATATATATATATATATATATATATATATATATATATATATATTTATTCATGAATTATTCACAAAAAACAAATTTGCAATGGTTAAAAATTTAAAATCAAACTCAGCGTTGCTACTGAACGCTCCAAAAACAATAACTCATTTCCAATAGCATTTTCGGATACAACAATACATATATTTTCGTTGTCCTCTTATTACTAAGAGAAAAAAAAAAGAACAACATCTATTCCATACCTGAAGATGTCTGTAGGAACAGACGAAAGCTTGTAGTAAAAATAAAACTAATACAGCAGAAATTTATAGAAACAAGGATCTTTTCATTCATAACAGGTTCGGAGGTTTTTGTATATTATTTGAATTGTTTGCGACGATGGATTTCTCGCCAATTAAATCATTAACCTTTGCATTTGTTTTTGTGTGACTAATTCATGAATTTGTAAATTGATTGCACGTTTATCGAAATATATATATATATATATATATATATATATATATATATTAAGTATGGAGATATAAATGTACATATATGTATGATAAACCACATCAATATCAGAGATATGATTTATTCCATTGGGTAAATATAAATCTATAAATCTTAATTCAACAATTAAACATTCAGGGGCGACATAAGAAACGCCATGCTGTAGGAACTGATATTAAAGGAGAAACAATTGCGTCCAGGCATAAATAACCTCCAAGCCCAGACCGCTTTCCGCCAGGATAAGATACCTTACGTCCCCATAATTGCTATATAAATATATTCTCATATATATAGGCGTCTACCAGAGGAGGACTGACATTGAAAATAAATTTAAAACAATGCTCCGAGACAGACACTTCTTGATATAGCCAGCGTACGGATATATATTAAATGGACTTCTAACTTGAGGTAATTTCTATTTTTTTGCTGTAATATATATATATATATATATATATATATATATATATATATATATATATATATATATATATATATTTCTCTGTATCTATAAATTGTTTTACGGCGAAATGTTTATGAATATATTCCAGTGAGTATTACTGTGTCGGTGTGTTTTAGTGTGAAGAATTCACAGCCCATTTATCTCCAGCGTGGAAAGTTCATGTCATACAGTTCGAAAGAGGAAAATCCGGAGGAGACAGTTATTTTAGGGTTCACGTGTTTTTATATTCCAGAACAGCTGCTGATACAAGTTTTATTAAGGGCTGCTAATGCTACGATGTTTAAGGGATGCTACTGATATTCTCCAGCTATTCCACGGATATTAAAGGGCACTACAGCAGCAAACATAATGCCAATGTTAACTTGCCGTCAGTTTATATTAACAACTCCTTAAAAGCCGCCTCATTTAAATATTCCTCCTATCATTTGATCTTTCTCAAATTTTTCTGTAACCCCTTGCGTCCCTAAATCTTTCTCGCCATTTTTGGGTTCTCCGGGCTTTATATATATATATATATATATATATATATATATATATATATTCATACATCCTTGGCTCTTTTGAGTTCTGATCCTTTGTTGAGTCTACGAGAATTCAAAGAGTAGGGAAACTTAAGTCGTATGTGATAGGTTCCAATAAATTATTAACTCAAAATTCATCGCGTTTTTTAAGACTATTAAATTAATTCTTTGATACCTTTTAAAAATTCAAATTTTATTTTCAAATTTTGTTTTTTAAACACAATTTGATGTGACATACTCCTTATTTTTTTACAAACAATTATTTTTATTTCTGTCGCTGGATTTTAAAAAAATAAGATAATTATTCCCAAGTTTATTTTAAATTTATTAAAACTTTATTCACAAAAATTTCAAAAAATTTTGTTAAAAATTTCCCCGAAACCAATTTTTGTAATTTTTTTAAAAATCTTTTTTTTTTGCATGCCCGGATTTTCATATTTTTTTAATTTAATTTATTTTTGTCGGCCTGATTCAAAATGATACGA